TGATGATGATGATGATGATGATGATGATGATGGTGATGGTGATGGTGATGATGATGATGATGGTGATGATAATGCTGACGATGACTATGATGATGATTAGGATGAGGATGCTGCTGATGGTGATGATAATGACGATGATGCTGCTGATGGCGACCTTGCCGATTGTGATGATGATGGCGCTGATGATGACGATGATGAGGATGGTGATAATGATACTAAGTATGAAGATGGTCATGATGATGATCGTGGAGGAAGGCCCAAAGAGGCCATGAATATTGATTCTCCGAGGGTGTTCACAGGATTTTGGCACATGTTTCTTTCTGGCCTTCTGACGACAAGATGGCCACAGAACAGCCCAAGAGGCCCCCAAGACCTCGCACCATCGCTCGGACGTCCATTCCCTGTGTTTTGTTCGGTTTCGTGCGTGGCTTTTTCCCAAAATGATCAAGGATGCTCCTCGATGGCCCTCGCCGAAGGAAAAATCCACACGTCCGAGCGATGCCAAGAGACGGCACCAGGAGAACCCCATGACGGCCCACAGAGCTTCCAAGACGCCCAAGACAGCCTCCAAAACGGCACCGGAGCACCTCAAGAGGCCCCAAAGACGGCCCAGAGAGGCCGCCAGGACGGCTGCCGATGGCGTCCGACAGGCCACGAATGCCCCAAGAAGACCACAGAAGCCCTCGAGAAGCCACCAGAGGCCACCAAGAGGCACAAGGAGGCCCCCAAGATGCCTCCAAGAGGCCCCCAGGAAGATTCCCAGGAGTGCCCCCAGAGGCTCCAAGAATGTCCCCTCCTCCTCCATTCCTTTTCCTTATAAATATCCTCTCCCTGTCGCACCCAGAGGCCAGTCGAAAGGGCGGGCCGGGCGTTTCGCCTGGTTTCTTTTCCAGTTATGATCCCGAAGCTTAGGAATTGGCAACGGCTTCGCGGATTGAGGGCGGGTCGTTTTCAAAATGTGGCTCCAGCCTTAGCGCCGCGCACATTGGTTTTGGAAATTCGCAAGAGTTTCACGGATTGAGGGCGGGTGGTTTTCAAAATGTGGCTCTCGCATTAGCGCCGCGCACATTCGTTTTCAGCATTTGCAAGAGCTTCACGGATTGAGGACGGGTGGTTTTCAAAATGTGGCTGACGCATCAGCGCCACGCGCATTCGTTCCTGAACATTTGCAAGAGTTTCAAGGATTGAGGGCGGGTGGTTTTCAAAATGTGGCTATCGCCTTAGCGCCGCGCACATTCGTGTTAAACATTGCAAGAGCTTCACCGATTGAGGGCGGGCCCTTTTGAAAATGTGGCACCGCTCACTTGATTCACAGTGTTGAAATCCCAGGAATGGGGTTCTGGCACGATTCCGGATCATCAAGACACAACAGTAAGGTTGATCCGTGGCGTTGGAGTCCCCAGAATAATGTTGTGACACGCTTCAGCCTCTTCAAGCGATTATCTTCCAACGAGGTAGTTCCATCAGTGGAAATGAACCTTTGTAGGGACCTGTGAAGAGAAGCTTGGAGGGAGGGTTTATTCCAACATCGTTGATGACTCTTTGGTTTACAGTGGCCCTCCTCCTTCTCCTCCTTCTCCTCCTCCTTCTCCTCCTCTTGATCATCCCCGCCATCCTCCCCCAAGTGTTCCTCGAAGAACTTCCACAAGGGCTCGGGGAGCGCATGGTCCGATGGCTTGGCAGAGCTCTTGTCACAACGCTCGGCCACGTGGGCGATTCCAAAAAGCAGGAGGCGGCGTTGATTCGCCGTAGGCGTCTTCGATACACTCGCCGTCGTCTCCGCCGCCAACGCCCTCCAGGTCGTTTTCCTGACGGCCTCGCGCGGGCGGACCGCGCGGGCCCAGCGCCGCCGGAAGCCTCCGGAGCTCGTCGTCGCCGCCGTCGTCGCGCCGGCGTCGCCGCCGCCGCCGCAGCCTCGGCCGCCGTCGACGTCGATGCCGCCGTCGGCGTCGATGCCGCCGTCGGCGTCGACGCCGTCGTGGTCGCGGCCGTCGTCGTCGACGCCGCCGTTGACGTCGACGTCGCAGCCGCCGCCGCCGACGCCTCGGCCGCCACCGTCGTCGGCGCCGTCGACGTCGCCCTCCCCTCCCCAAGGGAGCCCCCCCCCCCCCCCAGGGGGGGTCAGACCTCCGAGCGCAGCGCCTCCTCGAGGCGCGCCTGCGCCGCGGCGGCCTCCTCGAGCGGGGGCCGCGCGGAGGCCTCCTCGGGGCGTGCTCGTCGCCGCCGCCGCCGCCGCCGCCGTCACTGCTGCCGCCCATGGCCGTCGTCGTGGAACTCCAGAGGTCTGGAGGCGCAGGAATTAGGTCTCGGGCACGTCCTCCTACAAGCGGATGTGGGACGAAAAACGGAAGAGGTTTGGAAACTACACCCCGGAGATGCCACAAAACAGAAAAACAAAACCGTCTCCTGCGAACGATTCGGATGATTTTTGTATCTTCTTCCTCCTGTAGAAAGACATGCCCGACTTGACGCAACAGGCCACCACCTGGCGTCCCGGCTCGCTGGAGACGGGCATCGATAGAATGGAATAGGCATAGGGGGGAAGAATCGACCTGGAATCGGCGACACGTTGCCGATAGATCGGCGATTGGCCCCCGATAGGAAATCCGCACTTTCCTGGGCAGGTTGGGGCCATCAGGCCCCTATTGGCGATCAACGGGCGATTGGGGTGGATGCATCCGCCCCTACGCCTATCCCCACCCTATCGTTGCCCCTTATGCCCATCCCCCCTCTGTGCCTATCCAACCCTGTGCCTATCCCGGGATGGCTTCCAGGACGGCCAGTGAGCACCTCAAGCAGGCCCAGGAGGCCTCGGAGACGAACGACGAGGGGCCGACAAGGCACTGGCACAGGCCCCAAGAGAGTCTCAAGCAGGGGGGCGGTCACCCAGAATCGATCAGACATTATATATGTGTGTATATATGAGAGCCACGCGCACGCTTAGCACGCGCCTAGGTTCTAGCCAGCTCCAGCCCGTGACAGTCTCACAGTTCCTGTCAGATGCGTGCGCTCACATGCAACGTCAGGAGTCGCCCACAAGTTGTTCGAACATGTGGTTGAGAAGTGTCAATTCAGAACGTGGACCTAGCAGAGACTGTATCAGACCAGGCGCGCTACGAAGATCCCAGGAGCGCCCCAGGGGGAGCCCATGAGAAATTCAAAGGGCAGTCGAAGATGTTCCCAAGAGCGCCTCGAGAGGATCAATCCCCTGAGCCTGAGTCCTCAGTCCTGAAAAATTCTCAGGGGCCCGAGCCCGAAGATCTCAATCTCTGGGGGCTGGTCGCTATTTCTTTGGGTTTTCGGCGTGCCCTCTGGGCTCCGGGGCAGCTTCGCGCATTATTCTACAGGGCCCGAAAAGGCCCCAAGACGGACCAAGAGGTCCCCAAGAGGCCGCCAAGACGGTCCAAGAGGCCTGCCGAGGGAGCCGGGAGAGGTAAACATCTGTGATATTATTGAGGTGTCTGAAAGATTTTAGCCTTCTCGCATGTTCGACTGTTCCAAGACTGCCCAAGGACGCCCCAAGGCGGCCCCAAGAGGGGCCGAAGAGGGGGGCCACGAACCAGAAGTTTTCAGCTTTCCGCCCGGAGAGGGCCCAAGGAGGCCCCCAAGAGGCCTCAAAGAGGCCCCAGGAGGCCCCAAAGAACCTCAAAAGAGGCACCAAGATGACCCCAAAGAGCCCCCAAGGGGCCTCAAAACTGTCTCCGGGTGGCCCCCCGAGAGGCGAACCCGGAGACCCCAACCAACATCCATCAGGCCTCAAACCTCCCACCCAGGCACGGTGGCGGGATGGGCCCAAGGCCAGTACACCCTGCGAAATGCTTAAGAAATCATGGGTTAAGAAATTCATAGTCTCAGAACTTGAATAAAAGCCAACATTTCTATGAAAATCTTAGGATTTAGGTTGAAACATTAAGAACCATCGAGACTCTGGACGAAAACTTAGGTTTTCTTAAGCATCGCCCAAGGTGTAGACTGCCCCGGCTCCCATGCTTTCGGCGCAGATGGCGAGCGAGGCGCTGGCTCCCAGCATCCACAGCGGGGCCCGCTCGCGCCCGGGTGGCTGGGATGTCTCTGCCCGTGGTCTGTCTGCTCGGTCCGGCTCTTTGGCTTGCATCTCAGATTGCGCCGGGGGGGGGGGCTTTTGGGCCTGTGGGGGTGCCTGCAAGTTTGTCCCGACCAACCTGAGGTGTTGGGTCCTCGCTATGAAGAGACAGCGCCCCTCGTTCCTTCCTCCTCCCCCTCCTCCCTCCTCCTAGCATTATCACCACCACCATCATCATCATCATCATCATCAGCATCATCATCATCATCATCATCATCATCATCATCATCATCATCATCATCATCAGCATCATCATCATGATCATCATCATCATCAGTAACATCATCATCATGACCACCATCATCATCATCACCATCATCATCATCAGCATCATCATCATCAGCATCAGCATAATCATCATCAGCATCGACATCAGTATCATCATCATCATCATCATCATCATCATCATCATCATCATCATCATCCGTATCATCAGTATTATCAGTATCATCATCCTCACCATCACCATCACCATCACCATCACCATCACCATCACCATCATCATCATCATCATCATCACCATCATCATCATCAGCATCATCATCATCATCACCACCGCCATCATCATCATCATCAGTAGCATCATGATCATCATCAGCACCATCATCATCACCATCATCGTCATCATCATCATCACCATCATCATCAGCATCATCAGCATCAGCATAATCATCATCAGCATCGACATCAGTATCATCATCATCATCATCATCATCCGTATCATCATCATCAGTATCATCCGTATCATCACCATCACCATCACCATCACGATCACCATCACCATCATCATCATCATCATCACCATCACCATCATCATCATCATCATCATCATCATCATCATCATCATCATCATCATCATCATAATCATCATCACCATCACCATCACCATCACCATCACCACCACCATCACCATCATCAGTATCATCATCATCCTCATCATCCTCATCATCATAATCCTCATCCTCAGTATCATCATCAGCAGCAGCATCATCAACATCATCGCCAGCTTCATCGCCATCACCAAAAGGGGCGCCCGCATGCGTCCGCCACACCCGTAATTAAGGTGCTTCGTGACCCCATCGGGAGCTCCAACTGCGGCCCCAAGTGGGGGGCGGCCACAGCGCTCCCTGGCCCCCATAGGGAGCTCCGCCCGAGGCCCCAGTGGTCGGGAGCGGCCAAGAGGGGGGTGTCCAAGAGGGGGGGGTGCAAACCATGACCGGCAGCATGTGCGCGGCCCAGCGGGGGGGCCAGGGACGTAACGAAACAAGAAGAGGCGCCATGAGATCCGGGGAAATATCATGGCCCCCGCCATGAAATCCACCCCCCCCTAGTCACCACTCCCCTCTTTTCCGCCCCCGAGAATTGCAGCGCCAAGGTCTCGGGGCGCGATCCTACCGAGCCCGACGCCACGCGATGAGGAGGAGGAGGAGGAGGAGGAAAAGGAGGAGGAGGAGGAGGAGGAGGAGGAAACGAGGAAGGAGGAGGAGGAGGAGGAGGAGGAGGAGGAGGAGGAGGAAGTGGGAGGATAAGAAGGGAGAGGGGAAATCCCCCCCCCCTAGTCACCTCCCCCCTCTTTTCCGCCCCCGACCATAGGGAGCTCCGCCCGAGGCCCCGAAGTGGGGGGCGGCAACGCGACCAAAAGGGGGCCGGCCGGGCGAGGGCCCCCAGAGGCGGAACACTGCAGCGCACCAACAGGCTGCAGTCGAGGCGTGGACCTAAGGAGCCCTAGATGAGGAGCGAGGCCCCTGTTTTCCATGATTTCAACTTCGACTTCGTATCGAAAACCCGAGGAAACCCCGAGGACAGCTGTGAGACACTCAAGGAACGCGGAGCCCCTCCCCAGCGAAAAGGGTTCCTTCTTCAGGGCCTCGACTGTACCGTCGTGCTTGTCTCGCTACGCGAGGGTATCTGGGCCCCGCAGCAGCCAGACAACGAAAAAGTCGCGTGCGCCCCGACCGCAGACGCTCCCAAGTTACGAGAACGGCGCCCATGCACTGTACCATGCCTGCGCCCCGTTCAGGCCCCGCTCCAACGCGGTTCGTTGCACGGTTTTTCGGCTGTGAGGGCCGACGGCACTATGCACCGTACCACCCCTGGCTCGAGAATCAAAGACGCCTCGGGAGACGCCAGCGCGCTGCGATGCACAAATGCCGCATTAGCCCGCGCATGTGCCCCCCCCGTTCGGGGGTCTCTAGATGAGGTGCTCCTGGCCCAAGGTACCCTCAGCTTTTCGCTTAATTCTGGAGCCCCTGGGGCCCCCTGGGCCTCGTGAGGGGTACTCTGGAGGCCGTGGGGGCCTCCTTGAAAATCCAGGAGGGCCCCCCTGGGCCAGGGGCACTTCTAACAGCACCGGGTTCCTTGTCCTCCACGCACCACCGTGCCTTCCCGGACCTCTTCCCTGGGCGCGTTTCGACCAGGTTTTCGAGGCGAATCCAGCGGTGGCGACGAGGGCCCCCCCGGAGGCCCAAAGAAAGGGAGAACGGGCGAGAAGGGAGCAGTACAGTCGGCCTTGATTGGAGAGGACACGCGAGAGGACACGCGAGACCCTTCCGAGGGCCACATCGCCACAGGAGTGTGAGAAGGCACGTGTCGCGAGGCACAGGACACAAGGGTACCCTTGAGCTGGCAGGGTCGACCTACCCATCGGTCGGAAGAAGTAGGTAGAAACATGAAGTAGGAAGGCGTTGGAAATAGATTGGGCTTCCGCCCGCCTCCTGAAGAGGAGGGAGGAGGGAAAACCACTCGACTCTTGAAGTAGGATGGCGCTGAAAGTAGATTGGAATCTGGGGATCCAAAAATACCTACTTTCAACGACCGATGGGTACCCTTGAGCTGGCAGGGTCGACCTACTGATCTGGGCCGACTGTAGGGGCACCTTGCTCTCCCCTGAAGGGACAGCAGGAGCCTTCGCGGCGGCGGCTGGACGGCTCGGGTGATGGCACCGGCTGCCCGCGCCACCATCACAGGCAGCACAACTCCCTCCACGAGTTCCTCCTCCTCCTCCTCCTCCTCCTCCTTCTCCTCCTCCTCCGGGAGGGAGGGAGGGAGGAGGAGGGAGGAGGGGGGAGGAGGAAGAGAAGGAGGGGTAGGAGGATGAGGAGGAGGATCAGGAGGAGGAGAAGGACGAAGAGAAGGAGGGGTAGGAGGATGAGGAGGAGGATCAGGAGGAGGAGGAGGAGGAATGGGAGGGAAAGGAGGAGGAGGAGGAGGAGGAGGAGGAGGGTGAGGACGAAGAGGGAGGAGGGGGGGAGGAGGAGGAAGGCGACGACGACGACGACGACCACCTGCGCCACAACTCCCTCCACGCGCCCCACCGCGCCCTGCCCGTGCCCCATGGGTCCTGCTCGAGGCCGCGGCACCGCGCCTCCGCGGCCTCGCAGCGGCACTGCCAGCGGCACGCCTGGAGGACGGCGAGGGGGGGGGCCGCGGCAGCAGCAGCCCACCGCGACGAACGAGCACCGTGGCGTCGTCGTCGTCGTCGTCGTTGTCGTCGTTGTTGTCGTCGTCGCCGTCGTCGTCGTCGTGGTCGTGATCGTCGTCGTCGTCGACGCCGTCGCCGTTTCCGTCGCCGTCGCCATCGCCGCCGTCGCCGCCGTCGCCGCCGTCGTCGTCGTCGTCGTCGTCGTCGTCGTCGTCGTCGTCGTCGTGATCGTCGTCGTGATCGTCGTCGTCGTCGTCGTCTTCGCCGTCGTCGTCGTCTTCGCCGTCGTAGTCGTCGCTACCGCTGCCGCCGTTATCGTCGAAATCATCGTCGATCGCTCGAGGATCAAAGTTCATAGGGCCTTCTGGGGTCTCCTGGGTCGCCCGCATGGCCACAGCTGGATTCCCCTCGGAGGTATGGCGGGACCCCAGGAGAGGTCGGTGTCTGGAAGGCGATCTTTGAGAGGAGGAGCAAAGGCTGGGCGGCGAGCGAAGGGGGCGGAGTGATCAGGAGAAGGCCTTCTCAGAAGGCGTCGGGACTTCTGAGAAGCCCTCGCGCCTTCTGACAGGTTGTTGCTTGTCTTCGGGAACAGGCTTAGAACACTTGTCAGAAGGCTGATGGTCTTCCGAGCTTTCTGGGAAGGCCCGCCCCTTTTCACTTCCCCCCCGCACTCGCCGCCGACAGGCAGCAAGATAGCAGGAGGATGGCCAGCGGAAGGGAATGCAACGGCCGAAAAGCGCAGGAGAGTCAGAGGGGAGGGGAGGTCCTCCTCTTCCTCCTCCTCGTCCTCCTCCTCGTCCTCCTCCTCGTCCTCCTCCTCTTCCCCCCTCCCTCTCCCAGTCCTGTTCCTTATAAATAATTTCTCACCGTCGCACCCCGAGACCAATGTTTAGGGCAAGCCGGGCGTTTCGCCTGAGACCTCCACCACCTATGACTCTGAAGCTTGACATGTGGCAACAGTTTCGCGGATGGAGGGCGGGCCGTTTTCACAATGTGGCTCTCGTCTTAGCGCCGCGCACAATCTTTCCAAACATTCGCAGCAGTTCCACGAATTGACGGCGAATCGTCTTCAAAATGTGACTCTCGCGTTATCACCGCGCACAGTCGTTTATAACATGTGCAAGAGCTTCCCAGATTGAGGGCGGCTCCTTTTCAAAATGTGGCTCTCGCCTTAGCGCCGCGCACATTCGACAAAAAAACAGTTGCAATAATTTCACCGATTTCCAGAATCAACGTACGATGGAATGGTGTTATGGAAAAATCAGTCAGGATCATGCGGCTGATGAAACTGAACCGTTGTAGGGGCCTATTACAGATTTCAACATCGTTGATGATTCTTGGGTTTATTCCAACATCGTTGAGGAGGAGCTTGGCGGGAGGGTTTATTCCAACATCGTTGATGATTCTTGGGTTTACACTGGTCCTCCTCCTCCTCCTCCTCCTGGCGCGGATGCAGGGAGGGACCGAGGATCGACAATCCTGCGCGCTCTGAAACAAGATCTGCTGTGCGGTCTTGCCTCGGGAGGCCCTCTGGGAGTCTCTAGGGGCCCCGCATGTGGCAGACCACCACATTCAGGAATGCGCTCACCAACCATTGGGACCTGGGAGCCCCTCGGACACCTCGGGTCCATAGGGCAGATCGCCTCCACAGCTCAGACGCCCCGATCGGCCCAGCGCGTGGGGCTCGGGAGCCCTGGGCCTGCGGTCGGATCGCGCGGCGTCGGCGCGCGCAACGGTTTTTTGACAGCGCGTCCATCGTTCAACCTTGAACCGATCGCGGCACGATCGTTCAAAATTGAACTCCGTCGGGTCCAGTGGCGTTGCCACGTACCGCGGTGCCTCCGCGTCGCAAAAATGGAACCTTGAACGCCTTCGCCAGCGTCGCCGGCACACCAACGCCGCAAGCACCTACCGTACCCTCCCGCATGGATTTCGCAGCAGGGGGCGTTTTTGGGTGCGCACCAGCGGGGAACGATGAGGAGGAGGAGGAGGAGGAGGACTAGGAGGAAGAGAAGGAGGAGGAAGCAGAGGAGTGTCATTCGCACGCATCCATTCGAATCATTGTGAACAGCAGTTGGTGAGGCTCTGGTGGGAGCCTCTTGGGGGCTTCTTGGGGTCCTCTTGGGGGCCTCTTGGGGGCCTCTTGGCGGCCTCCTGGGGGCCCCTCGGGGCCGAGGGCTCGAAGTATCCGTTTGGGTCTGTCCGTCTGGGCCCCCTACGTGGGCTACTTCTTGAAGTCGTCCTTGGGGCCGTGTTGAAGCCGTCTTGGGGCCCTCCTGGGCCGTTTTGGGGCCCTCTTTTGTTGAGGCCCCTTGGCCCCCCCTTGGGGCGATCTAGGGGGCCGTCTAAATAGGGTCATGTTGCTCCCGTCGCACTTAAGGACCACATCCGAGAAACAAGTTCGAGCTCCCGGAAAAGTGTCGAAACGGTGCCCAAACAGTGCCAGACGAGTGTATCCCAGCGCCGGGCACCTGAAAAACATCGAGATGAAAAACATCGAGTTTCGGTATTCGTGTTGGATGCTCGAAATTCTTTTTCGTGGTCAATGACGAAGGAACAACACACACCCATACCCACAGGAAGGTCGGAAGGAGGACTGGCTATGGGCATGGGTGTGAGCTGTCGGACCCTGGGGGAAGCTCCCGTTCGTGCGGGGACCCCCATCTGACAACACGCACCCACAGCCCCCATCGCCCCCCCTATGGGTATGTGGGCGCGCTCTTCGCTCGTCGATCAAGGCCACAGTAGGACGGAACATCACAAGTCCAGGCTAGGTTGGGCGCCCGAGTTATCCGGGGTAACTCGGGTCCGGGGTAACTCGGGTTTGGATTCCCGAAAAAGGAACCCGAGTTAGCCCTGACCCGAGTTACCCCTGATGATTCGGGGCTCTGGACGCCCGAGTTATCCGGGGTAACTCGGGTCCGGGATAACTCGGGTTCGGATTCCCGAAAACCGAACCCGAGTTATCCCTGACCCGAGTTACCCCTGATGATTCGGGGCTCTGACTAGGGGCGTCGGGGGGGGGGCCGTCCGCAGGGGCCGCCTCGGCGGCCGCCCGCCGCAGGCCTCCGCGGGCCCTCCCCGAGACGACGTGCTCCCCATGCCGCCCGCGGGCCCCGGACGGCCCTCCCCGCCCCAGGCCCACCAGCAGGCTACTCCCTGCGAAATGCTTAAGAAATCATGGGTTAAGAAATTAATGGTCTCAGAACTTGGATAAAAACCAAAAAATTCGATCAAAATCTTAGGATTTACATTGAGACGTTAAGAATCATCGAGACTCTGGCCGAGCACTTAGGTTTTCTTAAGCATCGCCCAAGGTGTACTCCAGAGTTCGCCATGAAAGGGAGGGGGTCACAACACTCACAGACGGGCAATTCCGGACCCCCCCAAACAAGCCACGACGGGCGGCTTTTTGCCCAGACCCACTGGAACCCTCCAAGACAGCTCAAATCTGACCCCATCCCAAATCAGACCACCCCCCTTTTATTGTGAAATCTGGAGTGCGCGTCGGTCCGAAGAAGGCTTACGTCGGGCCTGTCCCTCTACAAGGGAGTAAATATTCCAGAATAGTCAACAAATATTGTCTGGGGACGATCTTCTGACCAAGTGTAGACACGTTAGGAACACTGTCTGGCTACTTTTGGCTCTTCGTTCCAGGCCCGCCTGCAGGGGGACAGGCCCGACTCAAAAGAAGGTCGGGTCGGGCGGAAGGGGGGGGATAGCAAAGGGGGGGTCTGAGAATCAGCTCACGTAGCTGGTTTTCCCGGCGCCTCCCGGCGCCGGAGGCGGCCATGCATCGAGGAATGGACCCCTCGGTGAGGCCGAAACCAGCTGCATGCAGCAGATTTCGCACCCCCCCCTTTCCCAATCCCCCCCTTTCTGAAGGGGCCCCAGGACACACAAATAAATACACACAAATAAAAACATCCCCCATATGTTTCCATATTTTCTGGGTTTTTGTCTTCCCCCCCACTTCCCATATCTTCCTATATTTTCCTGGGAGTGGACGATTAATTGTGTCTGTGTGTTTTTTCACCTCCTGACTTTCGCCCGACGCAACAGAGAGGAGCAAAGGCTATAGGAGCGCCGAGGCGCCGGCGGCAGGCCGGGTCCCCGCCCGCCCCCCCCAAGAGAGGAGGAGGGGAGAGGGACCGCCGCTCGACTCCTGAGGGCAGGCAGGCGCCCAGAGCAGACCTGGGCTCTGGATATATATATATATATATATATATATATATATATATATGTATATATAAATGTATATATATACATATATATACCCCCCCCCCAAAAAAAAAACACGTACATTCCACGACTGGCGTCTACACTCGGGGCGTTGACCTAAGGAACCCCAAATAAGGAACGGGGCCCCTAGTTTCCATAAGTTCAACGTCGATTTCACGTCGAAAACCGAAGGAAAACCTAAGGCAAGCTGCAAAACAATTAAGGAACACGGAGCTCCTCCCCAATGAAAAAGGGTTCCTTCTTCAGCGCCAGGACTGTACTTTTTCTTCAGACCGTGACAAGTTTACCTGCATGGAGGGGTGTTGAGGGGGGCGGGCTGGCGAGGCCCGAACGGAAATCTGGACCTTGCGCAACTCGGATCCCGCTTGCACGCACGCCTGATCGGCCCGGCGCTGCTTGCAAGAGCGGCGTGGGGTGGGGTGGTGGGGGGAGGGGAACGCCGCAATGCAAGCAAATCCACCTGGGTCTAAAAAAACACGCCCTCAAATTTGGAGTTCCAAGACGGTGCGGTGACAAACCGTGCCCCCAACGGACCTCACCGCACTGTGCATCACCGCGCGGTCTTGGGACCCTGGAGGCCCCTGTCGCCCGAGACATCCTCGGAGAACGACCCGAGTCCCAAAACCGTGCGGTGACCCCGAATCCCCACCGACTCACCGCACGGTGTGGTCACCGCCCCGTTCGAGGGCCCCCGATGCAAACGACCCGCCACGATCGACGAAAACCGCCAGAACTGAGAGACGCAATCTGCCAGATGCTGGGAGGGACACCGGTCCCACCGCGCCCTGCGGCTTCCACTCGGCCGACCCCCCCAGCTCGGTGGTTCAAGGATGGGGTCCTCAGGGATGGTCAGGAAGCGTCCTCGTCGGAAAGACTAAGGAGGATCAAACCCCATTGCGGGGCTGTTACGCCAGAAAGGGCCTCGGATTAAGCGGGATTCAGCCGGATTAAGCGGGATTCAGCCGGACTTCGGACCAGGGCGAAAACAGAATTTGACCTCCCAGGAGTTGCATCCGCATCCGAAACGATGGGGTACCCAGGGATGGGGTCCTAAGGACGAGGCGCCTCACACAGCGTAAATCCACCCCTGTATCCTTTCCTATCCTTGGGACCCCACCCCTAGGGACCCCATCTTGGAACCGCCGACCAGCGCCCAGAATCTCGAGAGGAAGCCCGCCTTGGCTACGAGGAGGACCTGAGAGGCCCAAGCACCTCGAAGTGAGAGCCCCCAAACCAGTGGTGAGATATCAAGTGGTGAGCTGGAAACCCCAAGAAATCACCGCCAGTTTTTTGGACCACGGGGCCACCGCTGGGTCTTGTGACTCCTGGACCCACCACAGCGTTCGGGACATCCGCGGAAAAAAAAACACGAGTCCCCACGGCAGGTGGTGACACCAAATCATCGCCCGAGATTCACCGCAGGGCGCTGCTTGGGGACTACCATTAGGTCGGGCCTGTCCCCCTACAGGAGAAATACACCAGAAATGCACCAAACATATAGAAAAAACAAAAAATTGTCCCCTGAGTTTATGTGGACTATTTTTGAATATTCCTCCTGTAGAGGGACAGGCCCGACTTAAGACTACCAGTCGAAGCCCGAAACTCGAGCAGTCCTCGAACGACCGGTGACGACGAGCGCGTGGGCTTGGCCTGCGCCTGGTGCGCCTGGCAGTCCGCGAGAGCAGCCCTGAGGGCCTCCTCGGCCGCCCGCGCGCGCAGCGACAGCGTGCCTCGGCGCCCAAAGGCGGGGCCGCTCCTCCTCGGGTGCCGCTGCTTCTGCTCCTCGTCCTCTTCGCCACCCCCCCGTCCTCCTCGTCCTCCCTGTTCCCTGCTCCCTGATCCTCGTCCGCATCGTGCTGCCCGGCTCCCCCCTTTCCTCGTCGTCGCCTCCCGCTCCTCGGACGCCTCGTCCTCTCTCGCCTCGATCTCTTGCGCCCCCTCGTCTTCCTCCTCCCCCTTCCCCTCCTTTTCCTCCTCCTTTTCCTTCTCCTCCTCCTCCTCCTCCTCCTCCTCCTCGTCCTCCTCCTCCTCCTCCTCTTCCTCCTCCTCCCCCTCCAGCTCCTCATCCTCCTCCTCCTCCCCTCTCCTCCTCCCCTCCTCCCGCCTCCCCCTCCACTCGACGCTTTCGTGTTTTAGCCGTGATGTTACAATTCAACATCAATCAACTCTATATTTCTCTTCAGCCATGTATGCATGAACCCAAACCCTCACTCAATGACTCCTGAAATTCAAAATCCGCTTTCACCCTCTAGTATCCATATTTGTAGCTGCAGCGTGGTGTCCACGGTCTTTGGGTATGAATTCATATCAATCGGCTGTGTCGTATGTCGAGAGGAATTCCATCAAAAAATCGCCTCTTCGTCCATCTGTAACTGTTCTCCAAGATCCCCAGCAACCATCTCGAAATTAACGTCCTGTAGATATTTGTCCGTGTGGATCGTTTGTTTCCGAACTGATCGGCGAATACATCTGCATCTCTACTTCACATCAATCGTCCATTCTCCGGCGGTAAGCATCTGCATGACAATTAGTGACATCATCTTTTTCGTCAACTGATCTACAACCATAACTGTAGTCGGTATATGGATATCAGTCCAGAATACCCGCGTCAGTCTGTCCTCTGTGAAAACAAGAAACCCAACCCCGTGACGCTTATCATTGGGAAGTGACTTGTATCAGATGCTGAGATTTCAGATGTACTTCCAATATATATATATATATATATATATATATATCGTGCGGTAGGCTGTCGTCCACATGCTGGTGAAAAATCAAACTCTGTGGTTCCCGAAGCAATGATATTAGCCATTGTCGCACATGAAGCCGTTGGTTTCGCCCCTGGATGTGAAGTTGACCATGCAACTCGCTGTGCCGTTCGTGAGCGGACAATAAGAGGGCATGCTATGCCTCCGAAAACCATCGCGTCGTTGCCGGAGTATGTTCTTGTTTGCCGTACCTGATTACAGGATGGTCATGAGCGAGCAATGCGATTCGCGCCTATTGCGGATAACACCTCGTAGAAATACGACGCCCACTGTCAGCCACCTGAACAAGTCGTCGATGATGCCCAAGAAAACGAAATTGTAGTCAATTCGTATCCTGGTTAGCAAGTGCGTTCTTCAGTACTGCATCGAACTGCTTCACATGAATGCCCCTGGGGTCCACCATCTCCGTCTGCAAATGTACGATCTCCCGAATGGTATCGCAACGTGTCTTAGTGAGCCAAATCAAACGCATTAGTAGAGAACGAAAAGAAGAACCGTCCTTGTTACGCAAGTCTGCCATGCCCGCCGTCTTCTCCACACGCGCGATCGGTTTCAATGACATAAGCTATGGCTTCTGAGGTAAGAAGAACTGTCCTGGTCGAGACCTCCCACGTACAATTCCGCACCAGGAAAAACCAAAAACATGGTGCTCCATCTTGCCATACTTGCTTTCGACCCGCTGTTGTAACCACTGATGCATAGCTTGCGTTGCCAATGCGAGCAAATCAACAACCTGCTAAACTAATGATACACGACAATTCATTGTTCTGCGCGTCGGACACGTAGATGAAGTTGTCGCCGTGGACCGACTGGTAAAACTTGAGTTCACCCAGCCAGAAACGCAATAATGCCACGTGGAATAAAATCGGCCCGTCAACGAGTCCGTGCATGGCCATATTCAGCAGAAGACCAAAAGGAGATCTCCCCATGTCCTGGACCGTTGCAAAGTGCCTCAATCGTAGGTGTCGCCAGACATTCGCAGGTGGTTGTAGCCATACTGACCTGATTCGTTTGAGCAGTCGTGTCCATGTTCTTAAGCTCGCAATGCGATCTCTTGACGTCGTAAACCTCGCGGAAACGCTGCAGGCACATCGAAGGCCTCACAGTCCTAAGAGAATTAAGCTCCAAGTGTCGTGGCCAAACGATGTGGCAACGCTGGTGCCGTAGAGGATTGTCGCTGAACGCCTCCCCGATTTCTGTCCGTGAAGCCTCGCCCGCGCATTCGCGATTTGACTGCTGCTTGGTCTGGAACAGCTTCTCCTGAGTCGGCCATTGGATCTGCTGGTGGATGTCCCGCGGTCTGTCCTGACCCTGGTGTCTCAGCCGCTGCAGCTGGAATGGGATGCACAAAGGCTGCCGGTGATGACGGTGATGGTCCCACTCGTGGGCGTTTGTCTTGTACTTGACCCTATTGCTTGGCCAATGGCGTTGGAGGCGGATGGAGAAGAGGTAGTTATGGTCCGCGTTGCCCAGTTGGTCTCCAATCTCTGATGCAGGCGCCTCAGGGTTGAACATCTTCTTCGGAGGTATCCCGTTGATACCCGCTCTCCTTATCTCTTACCGTGCCCTTGGAAAGTCGCTAGCTGCACTCTCAAGTGATGTCTTCTCAACTTCTTTTGGAGGTGCAGGCGCAGGAAATGTCGTCGGTCGGTCATGCGTTCTTGATCTCGATCTGTCTAAGCCAGATGACGAGCTTGAAGCACTACATGCCATCGGTGTAATCGGAAGAATTGGTTCTTGTCCTCCACTAGGTCAGTCTGGAACCTTCACTCGCTCAGATGCCTTCTCTTCTGGTGGAACAAATCCGAGAATATAAGGAACTTCGCGATGCATGACCCGCGATCTTGATCTCTCAAAGCTGGTTGACTGAGGAGGTTCATGATTGCGGCCTGGTGTCTCTGGACTCTCTGCCTTCGCTGCTCCAGGCTGTAGAGAAACATCTGGGATGGCGCCACTGGTGAACACCGCGACGCAACTCTCAACATTGATATGTCTTGGTCGGGTGCAACTGGAATCCGTATCTTGGCAGCTGCTGGAGCAGGTAGTGTAACAGGCGGTGTTCAAGGTGCCTGTTGCTCCATGCTCTTGTCTGGACTGTAACTAAGAGTAGATGGCATCGGCGTGTTGTTCTCGCCTGGAAATATCAGATGAGGTTCAGCTGCCACTGGAGGTGCTCCAGGCGGTGCACGTGGAAAGCCTGCTGCTGGAGGTACCTCAGATGGAGCTGGTGGCGGTTGCCTTGGTGGACATGGAATTCCGATCGGTGCCTCATCGTTGTCGAACGGTGCTGGAGTCCAGGGTATCGTCGATGGGCTCCACACAGGACTAAGGTCTGGATGGGCTTCATCGTCTTCGAAGTGATCCTGTGCCGAAATCTGATAAGCTACCAAGAAACATCAGTATGACTGCCACGAGAAGCCAACGCAATCAGGGCCCCAGGACAACTGTCGACGATGGTATATTGATCCCGCAATTGCTGTGTCCACTGCGTCAGCCGCCCATAGTTCACGTTAGGTAATGAATCCACATGTCTAACTCACGTCCAAACTGTATCACGTTGATGTTCAAATTCAACATCTCCTCCGCCGCTCGTTTGCCGTCATGCAGAATGCGAGGACGTCACTCTTGGAGGTATGCAGGTATGCTGGCGTACTTTTGCGCCTGCTGATCCCATTGCCGCCCATAGGTATAGACTTGTCCAAAGACGCGATCCTCGACTTGGCCCATCAATGGGGGGAAGAGCTCCTCGCCGGTATCGTCCGTCTTGGTGTCGACATGCACCAGCCAGACAAAGCCGGCACGAGGTCGCATGTGTCAGAGCGGAACAAGCACGGGATGTCCTCTCCAACTGATAAGTGCCGCGTTCTCCTTGCCCATGCACCTGACCATCTCGGCTGGGACACGCCATCCACTCTGATCCATGGAAGAAGGTTCTCTCTAGAGATCGACTTTCGCCTCGGGCTCCACGATCTGCTCCAGCGTCTCCGGTCCGCAATATTGGGGCTTTGCGTCGGCCGCCTCGGCAATGCGGTGCTCGATCACCACATATAGCCGGCGGCGAATCTGAGACTCGATGGAGCCCGGCTGGCCATGGTCGGCGTCGCTCGGCGCCGAGACAGACCTGGTGTCACGTTGATAAGAAACGCATGCCCGAGGAGCGCCTGCTTTGGAGCGTAGCTTCCAAAGACCGAGACCGAGTTGGAACACAGGCAAGCCTCGCTGACACAATCATCTTCACTCTTGCGAATGCCCTGCATCTGCACTAGCGAGCACACCTCGAAGGCTGATAGTTTGACCCATCCAAGGCGTCGTTCTGCAAGCCCAGTACAAATGTGTCCTTCTGACCCCTGAAGATCTCGCTCGATGTTGTACGCCTGCCAGGCCTTGCCCAGACGGTCGCCAATCACGGCACCTTCCTGATCTGACATTAAAACGTCAGGAAGCCCAAACTATCGCGCCCAGCATCGCAGGAAGACCAGATGCCGCGCCTCAGAGTTCTTAGTTGCAAGGAAGACGAAGCAAGCCCAATGGATTGTTTCGTCTATGGAAATCACGTAGGTTCTACCCCACATGGGTAAATCTATCTGTCTGAACACGATGATTCGAGCGCGTTGGCAAGATTGCCCCTGCTGGTTTCGGCTTGGTAAGTGACCGTCTCCACCCTGCACCGATTTTGCAGTTCGCGATGGTTGGAAGGAAAAGATCGACAACATGTTTTTGACATTTGCCTCGCCCACAGACGATGGCCATCTCGCTCGCTGGTAAGTGCCACCTCTTGCAACGCAATCCCATCGGCAACTTGATGGTGCCCCAACGCATTCTGCGCTGATTGAGAGACTTGCGGCATCCATTGCAGCGCCAAAATCGGAGTTATCACAGGAAAGCTGGTGCCAATGTAGAACTCCTCAGGCATGCTCAGGTAGTACTTCTCCGCGTCGATGCTCCGCTTCTGATTCCAATGCTGA